TCAGCCTCTTGGATTTTTTTCTCTTCTTTCCATCTGTGTAGATGTGTTTGTCTTTTTATAAGTTTTAATCATGTATGTATTGTTTTAACTTGATGTAAACCGCCCAGAGTCCCCTATTGCAAGGAGATGGCCGGGGATAAGTCTATGTATAAACCAATCAATCAATCAGTCAATCACGGGAGTAGGGGTAGTTTGCCTTTCAGAGACTTTCTTTTCCTATTCCTACCCTTAAAAATAGACCACAACATTTGGACCCACATCTTGCATGAAGTTACTAGATTTCTGGAAGGTGATGACATTGAATTGTAGCCCCTGACTCTCAAACATTGCTATCCCTGATTTATATAAAATGCCATAATGGTAGAGAAGGGAAATAATAGTAACTAGCTGATCTGCCTGTCAGATCAGTGTGACTTTAGTACTGTCACCCTTTTCATCATTCCAACTGCCATGTTTTTGCCATTGGAGGCAGTTTTGGGGGTGGGGGACATTTGTTCAACAAATCTGCCTAATTTTTACCAGTGTCCCATCTTGAGTTGGGTGAGGTTTGCTGAGCGGGCCTATTGACTGAATTATTTTATGGAAGATCCCACTAAATCTGTTATTCTTCCACTTCAACCCCCAACAGTCAATCTTACTGTAATTTAGAATGGGCATCATCATTTCATACCATTTTGTCCTAAAATAATAAAGTTAAGGTTTTGTTTAAAAAGAAGAAGAAGAAGAACCCTTCTGTATCAATTTCTATTAAATTTGGCGTATTTGAACCCCTCCGTTCTCAAGCTTGCCTGCAAATTTCATCCCGTTTTGCTAAACAGAACTACATTGCACAAATATTTGTATTTCTTCCATGCTACGTTGTAGAAGAAAAATGTCTTGATGTACTCTTACTCCAGATCTATGCAGCCCTGTTATTTTTTATTCAAAAATAGACATGCCTACTTAACTAGACAATCTGCCTTTTTTTTTTTTTTTTAACAACTAATATCTAGGTGTCCCGAAGGACAGGTGATTGTGCATAACTGCAATGCCACGACGGATATGAAATGTGGACTACCAAATGCAGGTTAATATAAATATATTTTTTAAATCTCATTTCTATATCTATTGCTCCTCTTGCTTTCGGTAGTAGGCAATGTGAGAAGGGCTTCAAATCCTAAATTAGCATTGGGTTTTATATTTGTAACTTTGAGTCCATTCTTGTAATTTGTTTTTGTCATTGTTTTGAGGGTTTTTAATACTTCTCATAACTCTTTCCATTTCTGATGTTTAGGCAGGAATACTGATGTTTTTGTAGCCAAAACAACATCATCTACATCTAAGAGAGAGGTATCACCAAGTCTGGAGAAACCCCAAGGTGTGCAGAAGTTCAAAATAATCTTTTAGGGAAAAAAGAGTTGTAACAGTTAATGTGGGGAAGGGAGCCTGGTGTTTGCTGAGCAGATTCAGTAGCCAAAGTTTGTTGGCTGACTTTTCTTAGGACAAAAATGGGAAATGAGGGATGATGATAGTATCATGGAAAAAGTGGCTGGATGGCTGGGATAGCAAAAAGGATCACCTTCACAGTACATTGTAGATCCCACTCCTTGCCTGGGTTCATACATTGTGCTAAACCATGATGTGTTTAACTATTGTTTCTTCAAGAAAAAAAACACAGCTGAATTGCAAACCACACTGACTGGGTTACACCAAATCAAGTTACACCCATTGCTGTAAGGCTTAGTGGAGAGGGACGTATTTGGTGGCAGCCCGAGACCTCTAAAAGTTATCAGTTTTTGCCATTCATAAAATGCATGACTTGAAACTAGTAATATTAACTATAGTAAATGGTAATTAAGTTTGCATGTAAATGAAACCAAATCAATGCTTAGTTTTGTCTGACTCTGGCTGCTAAGTTTTGGAGGGTGTTCCCCCTCCAGCATTCCACTCAAAGGCCAGGCACAGCCATTAGCCCTGGCTTAGGATGGTGGGTGAACCCTGTGAGCATTTTGTTTCAATTATAGCCATCATTGTTTGGGTCAGAGATTAGAAGAAACTCAGAGTGTGCCCACATGCTTATAGTCTAGAAGTAAGAGGAAGGGAAGGAAAATCAGTTGGGAAAAGCCAGGAGAAACGGTTCTTCCCCTTGTGGACATTTGCTTCATGGACCAGTTCTACAGGTAGTTCAGGAAACCAGGTCTTTGTCTTCTACAAGTTAGAGGAGGGGAAGGAAAATATAATATCAGCCTCCTTTTGAGCTCTAAAAGAGCAAAGCATTTTTGTGATTGTTGAGAGAAAAGGCCAAAAGGGAGTTTTCCCAAGCTCACCTAGTAGAAAGAGAACTTTGCAGTTTCAAAGCAGGTAGAATGATGGTGGGAAGAGCCAGCTTGGTGTAGCGGTTAAAGGAATGAGGCTAGAAACAAGGAGACTTCAAGTTCTAGTTCTGCCTTAGGCACAAACCCATTCAGGTGACTTTGGGCCAGCCATTCTCTCTGTCAGCCCTAGACAAGGCCCAGGGCAAACCAGTTCCAAAAAAATGTTGCCAAAAAAACGGCAGGGACTTGTCCAGGCGGTTGCAAAGAATCAAGACTGCCTAAAAGACACACACACACACACACACACACACACACACACACACACAGAGC